CAGGCGGTCCTCATGGCTTCTAGCATCCAGTGTACCTAAAGAGGTGTAAACTACCATAGGGAATATGCCTTTTAAAGGGTTGGAGCTCTTGAGTCACAGAACAAAGTGCTCCCTTTATCTGCGGTCCTTAGGGATTTAAACCCTGGCACCCTCTTGAAAAACATAAATATCAGCCCCAGAAGTAGAGGACGCTGTACTATTCTTAAGCTTGACAACCTGAGTGCCTGCCAAGAGATACCTACCTACTCCAAGAGATGCCCATTGTCAACCTCTTTAGTCACACATCTGGCAGTCGTAGAGACAGCAGGTTTGATAGGAGTGTCGAGAATGACACTGGAGCCAATCCAGAGCTTGTTACTACCTTTGGGGACCCCTTGCGACTGGGCGTGGGATGCTATAACAGCCAACAAATGGGTGCTAGATATCATCACCCAAGGCTACCACATCCATTTCTACTCCTTGCCTCCACCCACCTTTCTTCCCCATCCCTCTGCAGGGACCCTTCTTGCGAGAAACTGGTACAAAAATAAGTGTCGTCGTTGTTTGTCTAGGAGCCACAAAGCTAAGTTTCCTGTAACTGTGCAGCTGCTCAGCAGGCTATAAAGGGCTGTGCAGGCGAGGAGAGGCGCCCCTCCTCTGGCCCAGCCTAGGCCCATCGGAACTGCTGTGGCTGGGGAAGAGAAGCCCCTCCCCCAGCCCGGCCCAGGCCCGCTGGAGCTTCTGGGGAGAGGAGCCCCTCCCCCAGCCCAGCCCAGGCCTGCTGGAGCTGCTGGGGAGAGGAGCTCCTCCCCAGGCCTGGTCCAGCCCAGGCCCGCCGGAGCTGCCCAGAGGGAGGAGCCCCTCACCTGGCCCGGCCCAGCCCAGGCCCGCCAGAACTGCCGGGGTGAGGAGCCCCTCACCTGGCCCAACCCCGGCCCACCGGAACTGCCCTGGCTGGGGAGAGGAGCCCGCACGCCAATCCCCTCATCCCCGGCCCTACCCCAGAGTCCGCACCCCCAGCCAGAGCCCTCACCCCCCTGCACCCCAACTCTCTGCCCCAGCCCTGAGCCCCATCCACCTCCCCGAACACCTCGGCCCCACCTTCACCACACATAACCTCCATATTGGTGCACATAACAAAATTCATTCCTCACATGGACGTAAAAAATTAGAGGGAATACTGCCACAGAGGTACCACTTCTAGGATATAGGAGAAGAGGTTTCTACTCCCAATATTTTCATATCCCAAAGAAGAAAAGGGGTTGGTCTTTGTTCAGGATCCAGAGATCTAGGATTGAACAAATACATACATGGCCTCATATGCAAGATGGTAACACTTACCTCCGTCGTTCCATCTCTTCATGCGCTTTATTGGTTCATGGCTTTTGACTTACAGGACATGTACTTTCACATAGCCATCAGCCTGGCCCACAGAAACTACTTGAGGTTCACAGTAGGGCCAGATCTCTACTAATACAAACTACTGCCATTCTGACTCAGCCTAACAGTGGTAGTGGCCAGGCGTGAAAGTAGAAATAGGGACTTACCGGTACGGGGCTGGGTTGGGGCTGGCTCTGGCCCCCGGAAGGGGGGGCCTTGAGTGGAAGGGGCGGGGATGGGGGTCAGAGCCAGTCCCAGCCTGCCCTGTACTGGTAAGTGCCTTCCCCTCCCCCGCCGGGGTAGCAGTGGCAGCCAGGGGCTCCGGCAGCAGTTTTGCTGGGCCCCGGGCTCGGTTACCGCTACCGTCCTGGGCCCTTTAAACCGCTGCCGGAGTCCCCAGCTGATGCTGCTACCCCAGGGCTCCGGCAGCGGGGCTCCAGGGGCTATTTAAAGGGCCCAGGACTCCACTGCCTCTACTGTCCTGGGCCTTTCAGGGCTCCGGGGCTATTTAAAGGGCCTAGGGCAGTAGAGGCAGCGGGAGCCCTGGCCCTTTAAATAACCCCTGGAGCCCCACTGCTACCCCAGGGCTCCAGCAGCAGGGCTCTGGCGGCAATTTAAAGGGCCTGGGGAAGCCGGGCCACCCCAGTACGGCGCGACCGGCCTCTTGCCGGTACGCCATACCGGGGTGTACCAGCTTACTTTCACCTCTGGTAGTGGCGCACCAAGAAGTCGGGTCATCCAAGTCTATCCTTATCTGGACTATTGGCTGATCAGAGACAGGTCCCAGCAGGAGATGATTCTAAACCTTAAATATGCACCTTCTGTTTGCTCAGATTAGCCTCCTAGTCAACTATTTAAA